AAAGACGTAATTCATTCAGTGGACTGGGTAAAAACCCGACAGCAGCAAGTCCAGTTATGGTCTCACGAGCCCAAAAGTTTCAAATGATGAGGTTCAGAAGGATTCGTGTCTGAGAAGATTTCCGTTCAGTGATTTCAATCATCTGATCATCAATTAGTTGCTAACCAGCAGCTTTTTTTCTGTTTGGTCTAAATTTAACACAAAATGTTTCCACCGTCTGGACGATGGACAAAATCAAACGAGTCAGACTTCATGTGCAGCTGATCACATCCCTTCAGCCACGAGGACGTTTGAAGCTAAAGTTGACACACAAAAAAAAAGGACGTTTCATTTCGTCACAGCCGTTTTTCTTTGAATTAATCAGTAAATTGAACTCTTGCGATGTTTGAACGGCGTTTTGTCGAAGTGACAAACCCGACGCTGCAGAAGAGTCTGAACCGGGGTTGAAAAACAGCAGAAATTCCCTTTAATCGTGCCACGGCTCGCAGGCGTCACGCACATGCCTGCTGCTTGCCGACGTGTAAGCATCATGGTCGGGGCTCCCCCCCCCCCTCCTCTGGTAGGCTCGGTGCAGTATCCACCATTTTGTTTACACTCTGGATTCCTCGGACCAGTTTTGGGACGGACCTCCCCACACCCTCTCCCCGTTTAGGTCCTGCGGCGGAGTCCTTTTGGTGTGTGCGTTGTTTTGTGTGTGTGTGGTGGGGGTGGCTCTCTGTCGCCGTGTGTGTGGTGTCTTTTGCGATAGAGGTCAATTAGCCAAGGTGTGTGATTGCGTGTGTGCTTGTGTTGAAAACAAGATTTCAAAAAATCATGCGTGAAACCAGTGGAGACATGGGTTTGCCTTGAAGGAGCACTGTTGAGTCCGAACCGCCTGAAGAACCTCAGTAGACGTCCGAGCAGTGTAAAGGAGTGTTTTAGCAACGCGTGTCTCTGTACGATGTTGCTGCTAACTGTTTGTGACAACCAGCTCATCTCTAACTGTGTCAGCGCTCACGGATGTCCCTAAGTTCTGGTTTGTGTCCCTGATGTGAATGTGTTGGGTTCATAGAGTGAGTAGCTGTTTGAGTTGTTTGGATGTCTGCTACATATAGTGTAAGCATTGTGACTGCAAATAAACCTCATTGATTTTTACAGCACGGCGTCCTGCTCTCCTCTCACTGGTGTCATGCACATGCTTGAATTTTAAAGACTCGTGTTCGTCTCCAGGAAGGAAATAGTCACGGTTAAAAAAAAAAAAGGTTCCTACAAGGTGTAAACTTCAGGTAAGCATAAAGTGAGAAAATGAAAAAAAAAAGGGGTGAATTGAAGTTTTGATGTTGGAGGTCATGTGGGGGAGGAAAGACTTCAGCAATGACCTTGGAGAACTTGTTGCTCCCATCAATCTGAGGAGAGTTATACTACAGCTATTCTTAAAACGAGTCCTTTGATATACATCTATGTATGTGTAGATATCCATAATTACATTTCAATGAACCAAAAATGTTTCAGAAGCAAAGTTTTAGACCAGTTTCTGTAAGTTTTAGTTTTGTTCCCTGCTCTGCACTCATTCAGTCACTCATTCATTCATTTCTTGAGTGAATGAGTGACTGACAGGGTTCTGCAGAACACGAAGAGCAGGCCCTCAAACTCCAGGACTGGGCACAGCTAGACCAACGTTAACGTTCTAAACCGTATCACTGGAGGAAACTACACTGAAGCACGGTGGAGGAGGGCTGATGATTTGGGCTTGTTTTGGTTTTGCAGCCTCAGAACCTGGGTTGAACCTGAACTGTTCACCAGTGAGCTGACTGGACTGAACTGGGTCAAACAGCAGCGTGACGACACAAAATGTCTCTTAAATTAACAGAATGGAGGTGCTGACTCATCAGATCTTAACCTCCGCTGCAGCTTTTTGATGATATTTGGTCCGAGCCTGTTCAAACAGCAGCTTGGGACGGGATTTGAACTGACAACCTTCTCACTGAGGCAAAAGCTTTGCAAACTGAACCACATCAAATATCTGCCAATGGCATCAACAGATGTCGATAGAAATAACAAACGTTCTTATTTTCTTATCAGTGTCTAAAAGTGTTCAGCCCATGGATGTTTTACCATTTTATTGCTGCTATAAGTTATTAAAGGTCTATATGAATTAGACTTGTTTGACAAAAACACTTTAATAAAGTGAAACTAAATTCTACAAAGTAATGTCAATTAAATACATGTAAGGTAAACCGTGTTATAGAAGTATTCACTCCCTTTAAGGTGGCTGTCTGTTCAACTCAGAGAAAGTATAGTCCAAGTCTGATGAGGGGGAGAGGGGCGGGGTGCACAAACTGAATGACCATGCAAAGACGAGAATAGCTTCTTTTTTTTTCCATTCAACCTTTATTTATACAGGCCAGCCTCATTGAGCCACAGGGATGGAGACCTGTTCCAGACAGAACATATAAAGTACAGACAACATTAAATTACGGTAAAAATGCAGTTAAAATAAGAGTAGTATGAACCAGGGTGCTGTAAAACAAGGTAAAATACTAAAAACGAACATATTTGCTTTGATTTTTCTATTGACATTATCAAATGTTTGAAACTCCTTAAAGAAATTAAGGTGAGCAACGTCAGTTCCTGTTGCAAGGTGTTCCAGGTGCAGGAGCTGAGTAGGAAAAGGCCTTTTTGCCAAGTTCAGTCTGCTGTGAGGGAACGCTGCAGGTAATGATGTCCTGAGTGCACGCTGTAACTGCACTGACGGTGTGACGTGTGGGAGGAGATACAAGAAGGCAGCAGACCAAGGAGTGATTTATAGATGAAAATGAACCAGTGTGAACTGACCAAGGAGTACAGGGTGCAGTGATGGGTACGGTAGTTACAACCAGTTATGAATCTTAGCGCACCATGATAGACAGCATCCAACATCTGCAAGCAGCTGGCAGGATATTCATGTAAATAATGTCACCATAGTCCATGGCCGATAGGAAGGTAGCGGTTACAAAGTGTTTTCTGGCATTCAGAGTTAAGCAATATCTATTTCTGAAAAAGAACCCCAGTTTTAATTTCAGTTTCTTTATCAAGTTTTCAATATGTGTTTTAGAAGAGAGATGTGCATCAACCAAAAATTCCCAAATATTTGTAAGAATCTACAAACTCAATACAAACACCATGAATGGATGAGATAGGAGGAAGAGTTGCTGGCACTGACTTTCTGTTGGAAAACAACATCCCTTTGGTTTTGTCAGCATTTAGCACCAGTATGAGATGGAATAAGTTTGACTGAATGGTGTCAAATGCAGACTGTAGAAGATGGAAAACCTTGGCAACTGTGTTAGCTCTGCAATAAACAACAGTGTCATCGGCATAAAGATGCAAGGGTGCGTCGGGAATGTTTTGACCTACATTATTTATATAAATTGTAAAAAGTCTGACCACTCTGAAGGAGTCACAAGACTCAACAAGTGAGACTGAGCGTACAGCAGCTGTTGTCAGAGTACTTCAGACACATTTATTGAGCTTCTTAACAACCGTCCCTGGAAGAATTATAAAGCTTTTATTCTTGTTTTTCTTTTGGCTGCTTCTCTCTGTGGGGCCACCACAGTGAGTGAAAGTGCAGCAGACATTTGGCTCTTCTTTTCGATCGGATGGCATTTCTTGCACAACCTGGACTTGAACCCGCAGCTTGAGCGTTTAAAGTCTTCAGCCCTGAAGCTACACCCATCCTCCTCAAAGTGCTTGTAACTATAGAAGACAAATTAATGATGCAATATAGATTCACACGATTCCTTCAGTTTTGTGTTGATAGATAAAAATAAAAAATAGGGATGCATAGTATCCATCATATGAACTGCACTTTCAATGTTCTTTTCCTAAAGTTTATTTAAGACTTCTCTGTGATGAGGGTGAATTTTTATGCAAATAAGACATTTAGGTTAAATTTATTTATTTTTAAACCAGAAAAAAAATCCCCCTTTTTTCTGGTTTGTTTATTTAACAATTATTTTGTCAAAAAGACCCAATTAAATGGACGGAGACTTATTACTTTGTTAAAATAATAAAACATTAGTGTGATTGCATTTATTTATTTATTTGTTAGAAAGCATTGGATTTCATTTTCACTTTTTTTTTTTTAAGTCTCAGATGTAGTGTCCTGTAAATATTTCCTGAATTTTTATTTTATTTTATTACTTTTGTTGTTCACTTGAGCTCATTTCAAGAGAATTTCACAATTTAAGGTGCTTTGTGTACCATTAAAGAATTGGAGCATTCTAAAAAAAAAATTATAAAAGATATTAAACCAGCTCAGAGAATAATTGAAAACAGCAATTACAAATGTAGTTTTTCCATTAGATTTATTCACAGTTACATTTGTTAAAACGTGAAAATATTGAAAGTTTTTTTTTTTGCTTTTACAAAGAAAATTCACAAAAACACACATTCCAAACGGTCACAACAGGACATGAATCATCCTGTCTTCAGGTTTCATGTATGATCTGTCAGGTGTCTCTGGTGGAGCCTCTCCTTCCTGACTCCTCTCTCTGTCTCTGTTCCACTAGATGGTGGTATTGTATAAAGGTCAAGTGGTCATTAAATATTTGTGTACACAACCATAATCTCAGAGGAATGTGTTTTTCTTAGAAACATTAGGATATTACATTTTCAGCCTCTGATTTTTTCCCTCATTGGTTTATTTCTTATTAGATGACAAACATTTTGGACAGCTGACTGTATGAACTGAAAGATGTTTAAAATGCATCAAAAGCTGAATCGAAACAAAAACTTGTTTGTTTTTTTTTCCCAGAAGACTGAGCACACAACCTTTTTCAATGTGGTATTATTAAAAATATTAATAATAAATTAAAGAATAACGTATTTTATTACAATATTTTTCATCAGTATTTTGATGTTCTGTAGTTAAAATGGATCTTTCGATTACATTTTTTCAAATTTGATGTCAGACTTTATTGTTTTGCTATTTCAAAGATGAAACGTTGTGATTTAAGGAAAGTACCAGTAATTTCTTGATGAGTCTGGACCTCCTCCTGTTAGAATATAAAGCTGAGACTCTCCCTCAGCTGAGACACAAAGCAACACAGAAGATAAGAGACTCATCAGAGGTCTCATAATACAAAGACTAAACTGAAAAGATGTTGTGCCCTCATGCATTCAGATCTGATCTAAGACCAGTTCTGAACCTCTCCTGGCCTGTTGGCAGTCTGTGGCCAGGTGTCAGAGCTCTGTTCTACCAGCAGGATCTCCTGCAGTGGAACCAGGAGCTGCACAGCAGTCTGGAGCTGATGGACAAACTTGAACATCAGATGCTGGAGGATACGGAGCCTTTGAGGAGCAGCGTGGTCCTGCAGCCAGTCTCCTATCAGCTGAACAAAGAGGGGGGACACTTTGGCCTGACCCTGGACACTCGAGGCTTTTCTCCAGAGGAGCTGGCAGGCAGGCAGGTGGGCAGGAAGCTGAGAGTCAGTGGGAACTCTCAGGAGGAGCAGAAAGGCTCGTACAGCCTGCAGGAGTTCAGACAGGAGCTTGATCTGCCTGAAGGAGTGAACCATGAAGCTGTCAGCTGCTTCCTGTCTCCAGATGGAACGCTGCACATCCTGGCAGACAAAGATCCAAGAGTTCTACATGTTTCTACTTTGACAGAGAATTATAAAATAACATTGGTGGATTAATAATAATATTATTATCCCAGCCCAGGACTTTTCTGGGTGCAGTTTGCATGTTCTCTCTGTGCATGTGTGGGTTTTCTGCAGGTACTCCAGTTTCCTCCCACAGACCAAAAACATGTTAGACTGATTGGTAACTCTAAATTGTCTCTAGGTGTGAGTGAGAGAGTGAATGTTTTTGTCTTGTTTGTCTTTCTATGTGTCCCTGTGATGGACTGGACACCTGTCCAGGGTGTCCCCCGCCTCTCGCACTGTGATGGCTGGATATGGGCACCAGTGACGCCCGTGACACAATAAATGAAGAAGTGGGTAAAAGATAATGGATGAATGATCAATATTTCATCCGATGTTTAAGACAGTCAAAAACACATGTTCAAAAAGACAAGTGAAGCAAGCTGAACTGTTCTTGTACATTAACTTTACCTGCTTTCTTCCTTTATGGGTCACGGGGGTCAATGGTGCCAATGTCCAGCCATAACTGCGCGAGAGGCGGGGGGACACCCTGGACAGGTCTCCAGTCCATCACAGGGACACATAGAAAGACAAACAAGACAAAAACATTCACTCTCTCACTCACTCCTAGAGACAATTTAGTTACCAATCAGCCGAACATGTTTTTGTTCTGTGGGAGGAAACTGGAGTACTTGGAGAAAAACCCACACATGCAAACTGCACGTAGAAAGGTCCTGCCAGCAGCACTAGAGGAGGGGGCTCAGTCCACACCAACACGAGACTGATCGGGTCACACAGCAGTGACTAAAAGTTCCTGCTGCTACAAATGACAAAATTTGTTTCACATTTCACTTTCGTTTTTGTAAAAATATACGCATGTTGCGGTTTATCTGAGATTGTTTTAGTACAAAACATTTTTATAATGTCATGTAAAAATCTAAAATACAAAAGAAACTAACTAAACTGAAACTTAAGGTCCGATTAATCTGATCTCCTCCTATTTTTACGTTCAAACTAATGTTTTGCACCTCCTGTTGTGCAGGAGCCTCTTTCATTAGTCAGCAGACGCAGGAGCAGGTGATCAACATTTTCTTCCAAAAAGAGTCGTTTTTTTCAGGCTGTTTGTAGCATAGCTTCATAACAATGTCTCCCCAATAGTCTTTGGCAAAATAAAACATAATTTATGTAAACTGGCCCTTGTGACAAGATATCTTAAATATGAAAAAAACAAAGTTCTGTTTGCTTTTTTAAAGTCTTTAAGGTTTGGTGTAGTTCTGGAAATACAAGTTGCCCCGTCTTATCTAAAGGTTTTCAATGCGTTTGTATAAAACCTTCAAGGTTCATTGATAAAATGTTGGTTTTCATCTTTTGAAAAAGTTTTCTTTTCCATTAAGAATTTGAAGGGCTGGATGGAAATAGTCCAAGGGCCACTTTTGGCTCTCAGGCCACGTTGCCTACATCTACACTAAGGTCCATTTTAGGGATGCACAATATTATCGTCACGGTATCGGCCAATATTATTGATAAAGAAACTGTCAATAGATATACTGTCAAGTGTATCTATTAATGCACTACTATTTATATGCTTTTCGCTTGTGAACAGGTTGAGTTTAAATTAGTGAAAATTTACAAATTTGCACAGTTTGAGTGTTGTCATTGTGTTAAGAGTAATTGTCATGAATAAATAATCCAAGTTGAAGTGTTGCATCATTTTCAGCATCTGTATTTGGTAGCAGGACAAACTGACAAAGACCATGCAGAATAATGAATTTTAATTCCACAGCAGAGAAAGCCATGTAGTCTCTGTGAGCAGATCTCGGGGAAAAAATATCAGTACTGTATTGGCATCAGTTATCAGCCAAAGAAGTTTTAACATATTAGCATTTTGGATATCAGCCAAAAATATTATTTGTGCATCTCTAGTCCATTTGGCATGTTTTGGGGCTGCAGGAGGAAAACTGAGAAAACCCACAGATGAACAGGCAGAACATTCAACCAACCCAACTCCTCACTGCTGAACTGAATAAAAAAAAAAAAATACTATTTAACAAAATCATGTATACACTGGGAAACGCTCTCCAAGTAAACTTTATTTAAAAAAAAACTTTCATTTAACACATGGACTGACATATTTGTTATCATAGTTCTGCAAGAATGGTTAATCATGTAAACTCTGATAAAATGACTTTTACTTAAAAGTGAGGCGTTTAACAACAAAATTAAATAAAATTTGAAATCATCACACTATACACCCACCAGTGACTTTCTAGAAAACGGATTCCTACACGGCGCTTCCTCCTGGTGACGCTTTCTGAGAGGTACAACTCAAAACAGTCCTGGTTCTCTGAGAGTCCAGACTTGTTGATTTTGTTTGTTACAAACAAGTGAAAGTTAAAACAACGGCAGAAAACAGGCACAACGGACAAAAGTGGGAACGCAGACTGACAGTTCATCTCTGGGCTCTTCAGCAGATCCTTTAGAGGTTAGCTCTTTGAGCCTTTGCTCATGTATACGCCGTTGTTGTATCCTTCTCTGTTGCGGGCGATCTCAATGGCAAAGAACTGGACCCGGGTGGCTAGAAACAGCAAAACACAACATTTAGTTGTTGGATAATTGAATGATCCTATCATCAACTCATTAAATAACTGAGCCACGCAAGGAAACTAGAAGATCTTTATCAACACAGGTTTAATCCTGCAAGAGGAGCAGCGTTGAAATACAAGCATCAAGATGTTACATGACGCTTCGTCTCCAAGGTCTGATCACAGGCAGTACAAGGAAGTGTCTTTTTGTATGAGACAGAGGCGAGGTCAAGACAACTCTGCTTTCCAGCTTATCAGGTGTGCAGGCTCCACGTTGCAAAGATAAAACAAGTCTAACACACACACATGGTTCTAAAACATTTGACATTAGTAAGTGAAAAACATCCGTGACCTTTACATCCCCATCAATAGTCTTTGTTTTTGTTGATGTTTCCTTCACTTTTGAGACACTGGCTCACCAAATATAGTGTTTTCCTCGTTGTAGTCCTTCTCGCAGTCCAGTCGCAGCAGGGTGCCGTAGTTAAAATCTTCCACGAGTCCCTCGAACTGGTTACAAAATGGACGCCACCTCTGCGCACACACGCATAAACATGTTCATTTAGCACAAACACTCAGGTTCTGAGATCCCATCACACAGAAAATGCTTCTGTTTCTCTCATGTTCATGTGAAGGATGAAAAAAAATGTATTTTATTAAAAAAAAAAAAATAGGGAGAATTTCTGAGATTGTGACAAACGGACCTCTTTAGCCTGGTCAGACTTCAGGTCGTCTTCTTTCAGCTGCTTTATGTCGAGCTCTTTGAAGGTTTCTCTGAAGCTCGAGTAGAGTTTGTCGTCCACCTTTGTCAGCTTCAGAAACTTTGGATCAACCGATGAAATGAGCTAAAAGTAGAACAGACACCGGTCCAGAAAGAGTTCACACTTTATGTTCTGAACATGTGCGCACCAATCACTTCAGTCAGGCTGCAGCTGCACATTTATTACAGCCAGTCATTGAAAAGCAAGTTAAACTATTAATTTTAGGGTTTAACGTGTTAGGAAACGATAAGTTGTCCAGTCCTCAGCAGCTCTAAAAGTTAATTAAAATACAGCCTCAGTCAAACAAAATCACTTAACATGTTCCACTGATGTGAACAATCTTTTAACTACACGTGCTACAATATAGTTCGATCCATAAAGGCAAAATAAAGCATGAAGGAGCTAAAACTAGTTAGTCCTAGCTAACATTTGAGCTACACAAAAATGCACTCCATTGGATGCAAAAACAATAAGAACCCCTTCAGAAAAATTAAGTCAAAATACTTCTTTCATTGAATAGCATATAGAGCCACCTTTAGCAGCAATAACTCTCAGTAATTATATTTTTCATGACATCAGCGCATCACCTAATTGTTGCAGCGGTTCATCGTACCTGCACAGCTCTCTGCAGGTACGATTTGACTGGAAAACTTTGGTCTACAGAGGAGTTATGTGTGGACTCGGTAACTGCATGGTGCCCAGGTCCCACAGCTGTGAAAGCTCAAATCATCAGCTGCTGCGCTCCACAGCTGGTATGAAGTATGGCTGTAGGCAACAGCCAAACATTTGCACTTTTCACTCTGATTTCTTTAAAAAGGCACGATTTCCAAAGTCTTGCAATATAATTAAACAATTTTAATGAAGAAGAGATTGTCTCGTGGAAACTCTTCCAACAAGCCATACTCGTTCAGTCTTTTTCGTTTGTACTGTCAAAACACCAACATTTAACCTGCTAACTGAGGCTTGTACAGTCCGAGGTGTTCTCTGAGATTCGCAGTCTGACCACAGGGTGGATTTCATAGGACCTCCACTCCTAAGGAATACTTTGAAAATGTCCTCATAACCCCTTCCAGATCACTGCACAGAAATGGTTGCTTCCTCTAAAATCGGTGCTAAAATCTTTCCACCTTGGCATTGTGTTAAAGAACATCTGAATGCTCCAGAGCAGCACTTTTAATTTATAGAGGCGCTCACACTTTCAGGTGATCAGATAAAGCAGCTGATTAGCAGATGACCCTATGGAAACAGTGAGTGCAGTTTTAGTTTTTCAGAAACCTTTGTTAAATAAATCGAGACGTAAACGTAAATGCCATGTGTTGTTGATCTGAGGCCTCATTTTACAACTAAGATAATATATATATAATTTAGAAAAAGACAAATAGGTACTTTACATTGAAGTACACTTCGGCGTGGTTGTAGGCCTTCATCGCCCACATGACTTCGAGTCGCGGCTGAAACAAACAAATAAACAACACACACACACACAAAGGGTTAGATTAATTACAACACAAGTCACTTTCAAGTAAACACACTTTCTGTGAAAATGAACTGATCATCCAATGATGCTTCAAATTTTAATTTTTTTTTTTCCTGGGATATGACATTAAATGATCTTTTTAGTTTAAAATATATTTATCCACATCTCACATGCTAAAAAGAGAACGATGTCCACTCACATCATTCCCATATGCTTCTGCTGGCAGAGACAGAGCGTGTGCAGCCGCTGAGGCTCCCTCCACTCCCTGTGAACACACACACACACACACACACACACACACACACACACACACACAGTCACCCACTGGTGTCACCTGACAAGAGATTCACTCTCACACTGAGGTTGGTGCAGGAACAAGAAAGGTGTCAGCTCTTCAGAAATCATTTCAGTAGTGTGAGACTGTTCGGTTGTATGGAAGCTCAGAGCTGCCAGTAAAAAAAAACAACAGATGTTTCACTTGGTTAAAATTAAAAAAAGGTTTGCTTTAAACAATGTAAACTAATTGAGTCATTGTTTGTTTTTATACCAATGATGTGAGTATTTTTAATCAAATGTGCAGTGCTGCCTTGACTTTCAAGTTAAATGTGTTTCATCACAGAGCTCATAACTCAAATTATGTATTACAGAAAATACACATACGGTAGGAATACTTAGGTATTCAGCAAGTACTTTTACTTTTAATACTTTAAGTATGTTTAAAAGCAAGTACTTACTTTTACTTAAGTAAAAACGTTAATGTGGTACTTTTACTTGAGTAGAATTTTGTCTGTTTATTTGTACTTTTACTTAAGTACAGCGTTAGAGTACTTTCTCCACCACTGCTAGTGAGTTAATAACAACCAGAACAGTGACAACAATACCATGATTTAAAAAGAAGGAAATTATTTTTTATTGCACTTCCATATAACAAACAGTACTTTGATATCTTCATTTTATTGTAACTCAGTAGAAGTATTTGAAATAGCTGTGATGACACAGGAAACGTTTTTCAAAACTGCAGAGGCATCACAAGTGTCCATGGTTTTAAATATGTGTTCAGTCGCAGGAAACAAACAAAGAAAACGGTGGAAAAAATACAACTACGTGCGGAAAATATTAATCAGCAAAAACACAAATAAGTCAGCCATCACTGTGTAAAGTCTGTCACCTGTCCTAACATCCATAAAACCGGTGACTCCTTGTTTTTCTACACGTGTGTGCGGGAGCCACCGTTAGCTTCGTCTGCTAACTCTCCTACTTTTAGGATAAAACAAAACGTCGTGAAGTTTATTGTCAGAAAGTTGTGTAGAAATATGAAGCACAAAGCACTTCACCCTAAGAAATGTAACACAAAGTCAATGTAAACACTTTAGTTTGGATAAAAAATTCCTACCAGAGCGGCTAGTGCATCATCCGACGCCATTTTGCCAACAAAGATCGTGTAAACAGCAACATGTCACACAAACAGGTGCACTCGTCTTACCTTCAGTATATTTGAACTATTAGCTTGCCTCAATATTTAGTGAGTGCCATAAACACATTTAAAATATATATTTCAAAAACGTCAACACAAAACGTATTAGTGAGAAATATTTTATTTAACCAGGACCGATAGCCACAAAAACCACGAAGTTATTTCCGACACAGAGTAAGCTATCTTTATGAATTGTTAATCTTTGTACAACCTTTGACATATGTTTACGTCACGTTTTTTAAAGGGCCAGTGACACACTTAAAAATCGAGACACCCGTCTGGATTTCTATTTACCAAATTTAAATATCATTCCTGCAAACTAAAGGTACACAACTATAAATAAATAAATAAATGCACATTGGTGGAACCATTTTCAAACCCTTGATACGTTGGCCCTTTCTGAGGGAGGAAAACGGTTCGGCAAAAATGGGTCTATTATTATAATTATAATAATTATTATTATTATAATCATCATCATTATTATGATTATAAAGTTACATTTCTTATTGTCTGATAAAGGACAATAATAAACCATATACATATACATACAGATATATAGATATATATATATATATATGGATATATATATATATATATATATATATA